GAGAGAGAGAGATTTGTCGTTTTTTCTCCTAGTGCATATGCATGATGCGGACCCGTTAAGAGTGTCATCACATTTCAAACCAGCCAGCATCTTAACCGGCTACAGCTTTGTGGTTATATTTCACTTTTTGTTTACCATCGACTGCCATTTGGTCTTTTGGTGGTGATAGTGGCCTCCTGACGAGAGCTTCAACACTTGGAATAGGACAGTTGTGGTTGTAGGAGACAGTCATTGCAGCTGCTAATCAATGCTTATGTGGTTTCTGAGGCTATTTCTTACTTAGCGTTCACTTTGCATTCAGATGGATTGACAAGTGCAGGACCATGCAATACGATGATCACATGTTATAGGGAGCTTGGCGAGGGTGTGTGTGTATGTGTGTGCAAATGCCCATGCACATGGCTGTGTGCTGCTGTCAATTAGAAGGTCACCATGGAGATTGCCTCGTTGGCCTTTTTTTTTTTTTTTTTTTTTTTCCCCCTCGTTGGATGATCATGACAAGGTGAGCAGCTTTATATGGGCGCAGCGTGATTCACTTGTTCCAAGTTCCTCGCTCTTTTTTTTTGACGTCCTTGTTTGATTCTGAAGTGTTTTGGGAACAGTACCAAGGTCCAGAGGCCGAAGGTTGCAGCCTCTGGACCCTGGTACTGTAGAATGCAATGCTTGTATTGGGCTGTTTCCTTCTAGAAATTGAACAACAAAGGCACTTGATTCCCTACTAGTTCTCCCCCCCCCCCCCCCCCCCCCCCCCCCCCCCCTCCCTTCAGAGCTTTTCAAAGCCGGTCGCTATCTCCGATCTGTGTGATTGCGCTCTTGTTCTTACTTCAATCAAGTGTATCATTGGCGGGACTAAAAAATTGATACTGATGAGTTCCTCTGTAGCATGATGTCAACAACTAACTACCAGACCAATCCTCGTCTGTCTGTTTCCCCTTTTTTCCTTTCCGGTGCCCTGTGTTTCTGTCAGACTTCAACTATGGTCAGCCGGCTCCTGCACTGCTTGAAAAAGGTGTGTGAAACGATCCACTCAGTCTTCTGCTGACTCATGATTCTGCTGGCGTCTTGGAATATGCACTAAGCATTCATTCTTCCCTCTCCATAGCATTTCGTGTTGCGCACACTCATCCTCTCATTTCCTGATGCAATGTGTCTTTTCTGTCATGCGTTCTTGTCTGCGGTTTCCAACTAGCAAAGACAAGCAAAAGAGCAGATCTGCTTATGAAGCTGATGCCAATTTCACCGTGAAGAACACGTAAGGGTACTCAGAAAGTGTCAGTTGACTGCAGCCACCTGATTCATTGGTTTCAAGGTCAAGGGCCCAGAGCCCAAAACCTATAACCCTGAACCGACAACCAAAACCCAAAACTAAGGCTGAAAGCCACTCAGTGTTGGAACTCCGACCGAGCAACCTACTCATCCGGCAGGGCTCATGCATACAAACCTTTGAGTTCTGAATGGCAATTTGTGATCCTGTTCAGGTCCCACAAACAGTGGGTTTGAACAAGTGGGACACAAACTGCGGGTTCGAACAAGGGGGAGACAAACCGTGGGTTCGAACAAAGGCAGACTCATTGGTGATGCACACAGGAAAAAGGAAAGTTATGTGGGAGCTTACCACCTGTGGAAGAGCAGTAGTTTAGAGCCATGAGCTGTCCAGGAGGAACTTCGTGCGTTTGGTGTGGAGACAAACCGCGGGCTCAGACTAGGCCAGGCTCATTGGCGATGCACAGGAAAAAGGAAAGTTGTGTGAAGCGTACCACTTGTGGACGAGCATTGACTTAGAGCCATGAGCTGTCCAGGAGGAACTCTGTGCGTTTGGTGTGGACAAGGGGAAAATAAAAATAAAAAATGCTGTAGGTAAGGCTTGTTGTGGATAAGGCACGACTGCGATAGACCCATTCACAGGGTAAGAGGAGACACGATCTGGAGGCGTTTTGGAAGTCAGGATCCTTCAGGACAAACTGAGGAAAATCTCTTGCCGCCTCCTCCTCTGACGCTCCCCCCCCCGTCCCCCAACAAGAAGAAGGAAAGTTTCTTGTAAGAGATTTGAACTCTGACAAGACGTCCGTGTTTCACTTGGAAACAAAACCAAGTGCTTCACCTGTCTGGCCAGGATTTCCACGAAGGTGTCTTACCCATTCTAGTCCACCCGGGTTGTCCAGGCCGGACAGGTCTCTGGAAATCTGGATAAGTCAGAAACGTTCGACGGAGCTCAAGTCTTATCGGGTTTCCAGAAAACATGGCTGAGCTCCAAGGGGGTGTGAACGGGTAAGAAGGGGAAAGGATGAGTTTGTAAGGGGGTTGGTGGGGGGTATTGTAATATATATTTGAAGGGGTGAATTGAAGTCAATTTGTGTTTTGAACTTTTTTTATGGTATTTTACTCTTTTTTTTTTTTTAAGTTTTAACCTTGAATTTGGTGAGGAATTTTGTGGCGACACTCAGCCAGAAGGGTTTTTTTTTTTTTTTTT